AAGCCCCCCAGACTCCCCCATTCCCACCCCAGTCTCGGGGGTCTCACCGTCCCCAGCCCCCCGAACCCCCCCAGTCTCGGGGGTCTCACCGTCGCAGCCCCTCCTCACGTCCCCCACTCGTCTCAGGGCGTCCCCCAGCAGGTCGGGCAGGCGCCCGTTCAGGTCCAGCGAGGCCAAACAGCCCCGGAAGCCTCCCCGGGAGGCCACGAGCCTCGGCAGGCGGCCCAGGAGCCCCGGGCTGACCCCCCCGACGTACAGCTCACCTGGGCAGGGGCACGGCAGGGCTCACCTGGGGGGCAGCGACCCCACAACAGCCCCGGGGTGACCCTACCTGTGCCCCATTGCCTGGCCTGGTGGTCAGAGGGGACACCTGGGGGGACACCTGGGGGGACACTCGTGGGGTGATCCCCCTATGGGTGCCCCCTCCTGGGACCACCCACACCTGTGCCCTCCCCAGGTGATCCCAGGTGTGCCCAGGTGTGTTCCAGGTGTATCTCAGGTATATCCCAGATGTGCCCCCGTGTCCCCAGGTGTATCTCAGATGTATCCCAGTTGTCCCCAGTTGTCCCCAGGTGTATCCCAGGTATATCTCAGGTGTATCCCAGTTGTCCCCAATTGTCCCCAGATGTATCCCAGTTGTCCCCAGGTATCCCAGGTGTGCCCAGGTGTATCCCAGGTATATCTCAGGTGTATCCCAGTTGTCCCCAAATGTATCCCAGTTGTCCCCAGGTATCCCAGGTGTGCCCAGGTGTATCCCAGGTATATCTCAGGTGTATCCCAGTTGTCCCCAAATGTATCCCAATTGTCCCCAGGTGTATCCCAGTTGTCCCCAATTGTCCCCAGGTATCCCCAGGTGTGCCCAGGTGTGTCTCACCTTTGAGCTGCAGGCCGCGGGCCCCCTGCCCGTGCTGGGTCACGGGTCTCCCGTCCACTCTCAGCCCGTGCAGGGCCCCCCCCTCTCGTGCCACGGCCACCTCGTGCCAGCGCCCGTCGTGCAGCGGCTGCTCCGAGTTGCCCTTCATGAGCGAGGGGCCCTCGCCCAGGTCGAACACGTAGTGGATGTACCTGGAAAAGGGGCGTGGCCTCGTGGGGCGTGGCCTTGGGGACTCACCTGAGAGCGGGGGGGCTCACCTGGGGAAAGGAGAAAGGGACGCCCCCCCCCCAAAAAACCCCAAATCCAGGGCGTGTAACCGAGCTGGGGGCGTGGCCACAGCTGGGTGGGGTCGTTGTGGGCGTGGCCTGAGCCAGGGGGAGGAGCCCCCAGTGTCCCCCCATTGTCCCCCCCGGGTTTTTTGGTGTCCCCCCGGTGGTTTTTGCTGTCCCCTCGGTGTCCCCCCGGTATTTTTTGGTGTCCCCCCGGTATTTTTTGGTGTCCCCCCGATATTTTTTTCTGTCCCCTCACCCTTTAACCAACTCCACCACCAGGAAATCGGAGCCGCTGCCGCCGTTGAAGAGGATGAGGCCGTCGGGGGCCGTGGTTTTGAACTGGAAGAAGAGGTGGAAGGAGGCGAAGGCCTGGAGGGTGGCCAGGGCCACGTAGGAGCCGCGGCCACCGAAAGCCACCGGGTCGGCCACGATGGCTCGGCGGCCGAAACGCGCGTTGAGCTCGCACGTGCTGATGTCACCGTCGCGACACAGGTCCAGGTAGGGCAGCCCATTGAACACGAGCCCGCTCAGGTGGCCCAGGAAGTTGGACGGGACCACGGCCAGGAAGCGGCGCTCGGTGACGATGCCGGTCTCGATGTTGTGGAATTCCAGGCGGGTGTGAGAGCCCGACAGCTGCCCTGGGGGGGCGGGGAGGGGGGGGGACACACGGGGGTGTCACCGGGGGTACCGGGACGGCCGCCGGGGAGGGGGGGTGGGGGGTGGGCGCCGCGCTGTGGCCACGGTGGGCTGTGGTGGCCCCATGTCCCCAAGGGCCTTCATCCCTGTCCCCACGGACCCTCATCATCCCTGTCCCCAGGGCCTTCATCCCTGTCCCCATGTCCCCAAGGACCCTCATCCCTGTCCCCATGGACCCTCATCATCCCTGTCCCCATGTCCCCAGGGCCTTCATCATCCCTGTCCCCACGGACCTGGACACTTTATCTCCATGTCCCCATGTCCCCATGGACCCTCATCCCTGTCCCCAAGGACGTGGTCACCTCATCCCTGTCCCCCCCATGGNGGACCTGGACACTTTATCTCCATGTCCCCATGTCCCCATGGACCCTCATCCCTGTCCCCAAGGACGTGGTCACCTCATCCCTGTCCCCCCCATGGATGTGGGCACCCATTCCCTTGTGTCCCCCCAGCCCCACTGGCCACGTCCCCACGGCTCTGAGCCCCCCCAGAGCCCCGGCCAAGGTCCCCCCTCCCGTCCCCGCGGTGTCACCTTCGACGGTGACGTTGTCGACGGCGAGCTGGAGGCTGCGGCCGCGCCGGGCCACCCGCACCGAGTGCCACTCGTTGTCATCCAGGCGCTGCCCCGCAAAAAGCGTCTCGGGGCCTTTGCCTGGGGGCAGCGGGGACAGCGGGGACAGAGGGGACAGTGAGGGGACAGTGAGGGGACAGCGGGGACAGTGAGGGGACAGTGAGGGACAGCGGGGACAGTGAGGGGACAGTGAGGGACAGCGGGGACAGTGAGGGGACAGCGGGGACAGTGAGGGGACAGCAGGGACAGAGGGGTCAGCGGGGACAGTGAGGGGACACCAGTGACACCAGGGGACTCCAGGGGGACACCAGTGACCCCGCTGCACTGGTGACACCACGGCACTGGGGGACACCAGGGGACACCAGGGGACACCAGGGGACAGAACTGTACTAGGGACACTGGGCCACCAGTACGGGTGACACCATAGCAGCCACTGGCACTGGGTGACACTGGGTGACACCGGGTGGCACCAGATGTGCACGGCCAGGTGACACAGCTGGAAGCAGCCCAGGTGTGAACCCCCAAACACAGCCAGGGGCTGTCCCAGCCTTTGGGGGGTCCCAGAGGGGCTGGGAGTGTCCCCGGGTGTTTTTGGGCGTGTCCCAAGGGATGTTCTGGGGGGAGTTTTGGGGGGCCGGGTGTCCCAGGGGGGTTGGGGGGTGTCCCGGGGGTGTCCCGGGGGTGTCCCAGGGGTGTCCCAGGACAGGGGGGTGGCACTTACTGGGGTGACAGCCCACGCGGACACAGTCTGGGGAGAGAAGGACACGGGTCAGGCCCTTCGCAGCCGCCGCCAGGGGGCGCCCCGGGGACGAGGGGGGGCGGCCGGGGGGGGCGAGGTGCCAGAGGGGGGGACTGGGATGGAAATGGGATGAACTGGGAGGGACTGGGAGGGGACTGGGAGGGGACTGGGATGGACTGAGGGGGATGGAGAGGCTGGGATTGGGTGGGATGGGATGAGGAGTGGGAATAGGATGGAACTGGGATGGAACTGGGA